TAGAAACATGTACACTACCAAAACTGAAACAGGAAGAAATAGAAAATTTGAACAGACCCATAACCAGTAAGGAAATCGAATGAGTAATCAACAATGTGCCAAAAACCAAGAGTCCAGGGCCAGATGGCTTTCCAGGGGAATTCTACCAAACATTTAAGGAAGAGTTAATACCACTTCATACCCAGCAGGATGCCCAAAATTGGAAACAAACAAACATGGAAAATAACAAGTACTGGTGAGGACATAGAGAAATCAGAACCTTTTGCATTGCTGGTGGAAATAACCAATGGTTTGGTTGCTGTGGAAAACAGTTTGGTGGTTCCTCAAAGAGTTAAAGGTAAGTTACCATAGGATGCAACAATTCCCCCTCTAGGTATATATCCAAAAGAATTGAAAGCAAAGACTCAGATACTTGTACCCTAATGTTCACAGCAGCAGTAATAGCCCAAAGGTAGAAACAACCCAAATGTCCATCAGCAGATGAATGGATAAACACACTGTGGTCTCTCTATACAATGGAGTATTTGCCCTAAAAAAGGAATGAGGGGCACCTGGGTGGTTCAGTCGGTTAAGTGTCCGACTCTTGATTTCTTGATTTCAACTGAAGTCACAATCTCATGGTTTGTGAGTTCGAGCCCCATGTTGGGCTCTGCGCTGACAGCACAGAGCCTGCTTGGGATTCTCTATCCATCTCTCTCTCTGCCCCTCCTCTGCTTGCTCGTTCTCCCTCAAACTAAATAAACAAACTTAAAACAATTTTTAGGGGTGCCTGGGTGGCTCAGTCGGTTAAGCGCCCGACTTCGGCTCAGGTCATGATCTCACGGTGCGTGGGTTCGAGCCCCACGTCAGGCTCTGTGCTGACAGCTCAGAGCCTGGATCCTGCTTTGAATTCTGTGTCTCCCTCTCTCTTTGCCCTTCCCTACTCATGCTCAGTCTCTGTGTCTCTCAAAAATAAATATTGAAAAAAAATTTTTTTTAAACAATTTTTAAAAAAGGAATGAAATTCTGATACATGCTACAATAGGGATGAAACCTGAAGACACAGATAAATGAAAGAAGGCAGACACAAAAGAACAACCATCGTATGATTGCACTTCTATGAGGCACCTAGAAGAGGCAAATCCACAAAGACAGAAAGTAGAACAGAGGTTACCAGGGGCTTTGTAGACAGGGATTAGGGAGTTAATGTTTAATGGGTACAGAGATTCTGTGTGGGATGATGCAGAAGTTCTGGAAACATTGTTTAATGGGTACAGAGATTCTGTTTGGGATGATGAAAAAGTTCTGGAAACAGATAGTGGTGATGGTTGCACAACATTGTGAACATAGCTTAACGCTGCTGAATTCTACATCTAAAAGTGGTTAAAATGGTAAATTTTATGTGAATGTATATTTTAGCATAGTAAAAAAAAATCAAAAAACAACATTTGTAAAAGAATTTTTGTGTAGCGTCTGGCTGGCTCAGTGGGTAGAGCATGCAACGCTTGATCTTGGGGTCGTGAATTCAAGCCCCATGTTGGGCATGGAGGTTACTTTAAAAAAAAGAATGTTTACAACAATTCTATTCATAAATGTCAAAAACCTTGAAACTATCCAATGTCCTTCAATGGGTAAGTAGATAAAGTGGGGCACATCCATATGCTTGAGTACTACGCAGCAATAAAACAGGAAGAACTCCTGACACACGTTATGATTTGGGTGAATCTCAAAGACATTATGCTGAGTGAAGGAAGCCAGTCTCAAAAGATGGCATACTATATGATTCAGCTTCTGTGGCATCCTTCGAGAGACAAAACTAGAGTGATGAAGAACACATCAGTCGTTGCCAGAGATTAGGGTTGTGGGAGGGTGTGACTATACAGAGGGAGCATGACAGAGTATCTTGAGGTTGTCCTGTGTCCTGATTGTGGCAGTGGTTACATATATGTTGAATATATATGTTAATATCCATATATATAAAAATTACAGAACATGTGTTAAAATTCATTTTATGACTTTATATATAACATATTTGTTATCTATTCATATTTTATTAATTTATATGACATATAACATATATTAAAATTCATAAAACTGAACACTGAGAGAAAGTCAATGCCACTGTAAGATAATCTAAAACTAAAAGTCTTATAAGTCCATAATGAAACATTTGATGTGAGATTTAGGAGTCTATAATTCTACTATAAAAAGCCTTACAGGAGGGTCTGGGTGGCTCAATTGGTTAAGCATGCGACTCTTGATCTCAGCTCAGCTCCTGATCTCACGGTTCATGGGTTCAAGCCCCACATTGGCCTCTGCGCTGATGGCGCAGAGCCTGCTTGGGATTCTCTCTCTCCCTTGCTCTCTGCCCCTCCCTTGCTTGTGCTCTCTCTCTCAAAAAAAGAAAAAAAAAGCCTTACAAAACTATTGAAATTAAAGAATTTGAAAAACCTGTAAAAAAGAGATCACCTAAGTTGACATTAGGTTAATTCTTCTAAGTTTTCTATAATTTCACAAACATTTAAAGAGACTAACAAAGGATGCACAATGTTAATAAAACAAACTTTGTATTTCAGCCCCTGATGTAAATTTTTACATTCAGATCAGAACTTGTTCTCAAAGAGAAAAAAATTAACACATACGATTATGTGCAAAATCAAAATCAAACCCTAGGAGTCCTGTAGAACTGTTATGTGGAAGAAGTGAAATAATGCAAATCAAAGTCATCTGAAATTATGGTCTTACCGCAGTTGAAGAAGCACGATGGAATGGAGTGGGAAGGGTCTTAAACATACCGATGTGGTGCCTCCCCACAGCCACCTCCCTCGGCAGCTGTTCTGGGCTCTTCATTACAGTGTCATACTGCCTAGTAATGCCCAGACAGTCACTAAGTAACGATCATAAACTTAGGCAAGCAAGGGTCATAAATGAAACACTGTTCTTTGTCATAACCTCAAAGATCAGGGATGAACTGGTGTCTGGAATGGCTCTGCGCTTGCTTCTATGAGGTTATAGATTCACTTCCCTTTTCTGTTCTCTGGAGACAGAGCACAGCTGGTCAGTATCCTTTAGAAGAGTGTTTTCTTCTACAAGTTTCCCAAGGGCCATTACTAAGTGTGAAAAACATTGGGAAGACCACAGCAGATTTGTATATGAGTCACTTTCCATCTGCATATGGTTAAGTGAACTTAACAGCACAAGTTTTATCAAATAGAAAGGCAAAATGAAGCATTTAATTACTTCTTCCCTGGAGATTATGGTTCTTAGATTTTTACTTCCTATTAACCTCATGCATAGGAGGGCCGGAACTGTCTTCTCAAAAGTACATATAGTCACGGTGCCCTGAACATTGTTTTTCTAAGATCTCTTTTCACTATTTCACAGGCCTCACGGAGACCCTCTCTGGCTCACGTGCCTCCTAATAGAAGTAACAACAGAGGGCAAGAGGGAGAGATGAGTGAATGAATGAATGAATGAATGAAAGGACAGAGATGGCAGGTCTCTGTCTACTCAGGTCTACACAAAGACCCTATAATCTGAGTCTCCAGAGACTAAGACACATTCACAGTCCAGGACACTGTACTTCCTCCCAACGGGACTCTGATTCATCTTTCAGAAATATTCAGAGGCAATCGGGGCCAGGCCACCAGGGATCTGCTAGAAAGGAATACACAGGTGAGTTTCCACAGCTTAGACTCTGAACATCCAGAGAGGTACAAAGTCATTAAATCAGGGGCGCCTGGGGGGCTCAGTCAGTTGAGTGTCCGACTTCAGCTCAGGTCATGATCTCACGGTTTGTGGATTCGAGCCCCGCGTCGGGCTCTGTGCTGACAGCTCAGAGCCTGGAGCCTGCTTCGGATTCTGTGTCTCCCTCTCTCTCTGCCCCTCCCTGGCTTGAGCTCTGTCTCTCTCTCAAAAATAAATAAACATTAAAACATTTTTTAACAAAGTCATTGATATCAAATTGGATACTGACATTTCCATCTTTCCATTACACATGCCCCAACCCTGGATACCCTTGAAGTACCGTGGCCTCGAAATGGTATGAGGAGCTGACTATCGCAGGGAAGAAAACCAGCCCCAACTGATTTGTTGCCAGTAACCTGGGATTACATTCAAGTGATTGGTTTAAGATTGCATGGGGCTTTCTGAAGTACGTGTTTCTTTTATAATGAACTCGTAAGAATACAGATTGGGGTGAAACATATGAAGAGTGTGAAACAGAGGATTACCATGTGGATGTAGCTTTCTTCCTCTTCTCTGGAAACAGAATTGGCAAAAAATCTTGCAGAATTAATACCATTTCTTTCTGGAGAGAGAAATCTGGTTCGATTGCTAAGAACAAAAATATAGACGAGGTCAAAGCAATGTCTTACAGCTGCTCTGAAAGCCAGCCAGGAACTGACGAGGTCCCTGCGGCGTTTGCAGCCCCGCCCCCCTTCCAGATACAATTTCCTTCTGGCCACAGCAGTCCCTGAAGCAGAAGAGACTGCCCAGGTTCTGTCCCATGCTGGGGCAAATGGCTCCCAACTCTCAAGGGGCACAGGTCACGAGCTTTCTAGAAACAGACCAAGGCATCATATCACTTAGGGAAAAAAAAAAAAAAAACACACACAAACAAAAATAACATGCTCCTTTGTGATTCTCTTGCTTCCCTTCAGAGTAGCCAGCAAAAGTAATGACCTGTGGGCATCCCTCTGATGGAATCAGAACAAGACTGCAAATTAATTTTCACCCTCCTCCCGAGTCAGAAACACAGGCTGTGTCTCTGTGCATCATGACTGGAAAGAGAGCTCACTGCAGAGTTCTGCCTTGCTAAGTGATTGTATCCTGTGGCATTCAGAGTGAACCGGGAACCTCTCGGGCCAGGCTCCAGACTCTGAAAATACAACTTCTAACAGGTGAGATGAGAGAGTGCAGATACATTTTGGGCTTTGTCTGCCAGGTCCATGAACCATCTCTCTCTCTGAGAACTCCCTTCTCCTATTCTGTTCACAAAGTCGGGCTTCTGGAAGCCACATCGGTTCCGCTGGCCCCTCCCCCTGGGCCACAGGTGATTCCACTCAGACTGGGGCGGTATAATTCCCTCTCCCCGGAAATGTGAGTTGGGGTCGGAAAAGAGCCGGTCTCTGTTGGTACTGGACTCATAGCGTGTAAGTAAGCTCACAAGGCCTGGTACAGCTCTCCTTGGCCATAAGGCACGTGCCACACTGACAAGAGCTCTCCAGAGAGAGACAGAAGAGCAAATGCAGAGAGAGAAGCAAATGCGTGAGGGGGAGAGTTCCCTGGGTTCCCAACAGCTAGTTCCTGACTCCAGCATCCTGGGACATTCCGTTATATTCCTTCCTTTGTGATCTACACAATACTTCTGGCTCATGGTAACAACAAACCCCATCCCCCTTTGACTTAAACTAGACCAGGTGGGCCTCAACTACATTTCATCAAAGATGCATCACAAAAATTGGGAGCGCCTGTGCTGGCTGAGGTCCATTTGAGCAATCAAAGATGTACCAAGGCACAGTGCGGGTCCTGGTTAGAGACGTGTGTTCCCGGATGGTGGACAGGTGGCTCAGGTCCAGCGGGGGTGGCCGTGCTGTGAGAGAAGACACAATATCCAGTATGGTAAGTGCTCAGGAGTGAAAGGATGGAATCTAGAGACTAAAATGAAGACATTCCACTTAGCGCATCAAATCCAGATTTACTAACGAGCAGTACTGACAATGAGGGGGAATTTTGCGGACCTACCCTTCTCCTTCCTCACTGCTCACATTACAGCTAGAGGTAGCAATGGGGCAATACATTTAGTCAGTGTGCATTTGAGACCTCACTGCACATCAGGCATAGTTCTAGGTGTTGGAGGCACAGTGTGAGCAAAGCAGATGAAAGTCTCTGACCTTATGGGATCCAAACATCTACCTTACACTTGGTGTGTCCAAAATGGAAATTTTACCTTTCTTATTACAGGCAGAGATGATCACCCAGGTTCTATCCCCACCTCCCATCCATTGTCTACCTGATAGTCTTTCTACCTAGAACATTCCTCCCCATCTCTCTGCCTGGTTAGTCACCTTCAGATCTCAGGTCAATGCCCCCTGCTTAAAAAGGCCTTCTTTGGCCTCCAGACATCATGGGCATGCATGTATCCCTCTACCATGGCCTTGACCAGGTTGCTTTGTTTCCTCCACTAGACTGCATGGGTGGAAACTGTTTAAGCCCCCTCCGTATCATCAGAACCCAGGACAGCGACTCCTACTCCTCAGTTTCCCAGGAGCCTCTGACCTGGGCAAGCTGCTGAGCTGGAAAGGACATATGAGTCACAGTCACATAGTCTCTGGTGTGAAGATCTCTCCTGATGGCCATAACTCCCTGGCATCAGCCTCACCGACCAGCCACCTCCTGGCTTCTCTACCTGCCCTCTCCCCCTTGGGCCCCAGGGTCTATCCCTGCAGCCACACCTGTCAGAGCCTGAAGTCTTGGCCCAGGGGTCCACCTGGACACCCACCCACTGGCTCCCGAGCCCTAAGTCCAGACGACATGTTCATGCCTGATCGCCAGGTCCTATGAGCCATGCTGTCCAATATGGTGGCCACCAGTCACATGTGGCTATTTAAATTTATATTTGTTAATATTAAATAAAATTTAAAATTCAGCATGGGGAATATAGTCAATAAAAATTCAGTTCTTCACTTGCGCTGGCCACTTTTCAAGGGTTCAATAGCTACATTTCTGTCATCATAAAATTTCTGTTGGATAGCATTGCTATAGAAAATTAATTAAACGAAACAACATCTACCTCAGAGTTACAGGTCCTTGTGAAATCATTTCTGAGCAGAATGAAGGATTATTTCCTCTGAACCTCATAAGACAGGATTTGCCCTCCTGTGTGGTACTGACTTCATAATCCTCCTTCTTCCAGCTGCTTTTCACCTGTGCTCCTCCCACCCACTGAGGAACCTGCTTCCTGAGCCCACACCCACCCCTCTCCCCCCCCCCCCCCCCCCCCCGCCGCCGCCGCCCAGTGAAGGGGTGAGGCTGGAAGGACCAGGCATGGGAGGGGGACTTAATGACCAGGTTGGGGCGTGGCTACCTGAAGTGGTAGTATTTCCAAAGAGCAAACAGAGGTGGGAACAGACCAGATTCTGGGAGTTCCTGGGAGTCACCAGACCTACTAGGCAGGTGGCAGTGGGGGAGAATAAAGTAAGCACATTACTTTGACCTGCTTTTCCTTCCCTCTTCTTCTTTTTCCCTCTCTGTCCGTGCTGTTTGCAGCCCAGGGGAGCTGCCTGGGAGTAACACAGAAGCTTCAAGGAGCTCTGTGCCCAGAGGATCCAGACTCCTTGCTCCCAGACACCTCTGTGGATGGGCACACACAGGGTAGTGGGTGATCAGCTGCATACGACCAGGTCTGACATTCACCAATTCGGATGAAAAGTCATTCTTGACTACTTTCCTCGGTCTGGGGGTGGCAAAGGCCTTTGTTAGGGAAGCAGACAAAGATGGACCCTCTGGAATGAACTTGGCATTGTAGGCTGCATTTGCAGGGCCACAGTGCCCTAAGTCCCGTGACTCCTTTCCTCAGTCTGGGGCAGCAAGGTCTGCCAGCCCTTCCTGTTCAATCCCAGCCATCGCTCCTCACCCCTACACCTCCCAGGCCTCTGGGACGGCTCCTCCAGTGCCTTCTTCCCAGAGACGGTCAAGAAGGAAACTTCTGCACGTGGCCTCTAGGACCTTTCTCCCCTCCCCTGCACAGCAGGTCCGTTCACGTGGCTTACGTTTCCTCTGAGGCTTGAGATCTCTATTCACTGGGGGAGGCTCCATGTCTGCAGGTAGCTCAGGCAGCGGGCTTGAGATGCTCCCTGGGCTCATGGGGATGTAGTCATCATGGCTGCAGCAGGTTCTAAGAGCAGAGGTGGCCACCTGTGGGCCCATGGGCACGTAGCCATCTTCGGCACTGGCTGAAGCTGTGGGGTACACCGGGGAGAACCCGCACGGCTGCAAGAGAACAGGTGCAGGTCGGGAAGCACGGCCAAGGCCGTGCACAGGGGTTGCAAGTATCCAAGAATAACTTTGAACTTCCTTAAGAAAGTCAGGTAAGCCTCTAACTTGGGCTCTGCCCCTGCTCCTATTGTATGAGGCAGGTGAGGACACTCCTGGATTTGGTGCTAGAAGATAGAGGGTTATGAATTTCCGCAAACACTCTCAGTGTAGTGTGATGCCTTAAGTCCCACACCCCGAGGCAGACAAGTGTCTGAGTATTAGAACTAGAAGGGTCCTTATAGGACACGAAGTGCAATCGTTCTCAGACAAGTTGAAGCCTTAGGGAAGACTGAAAGGGTCCTCAGAGATTCAGTGCTGAGTCTCAAAAGACTTCAAGGGAGCATATATTGGTCAAGCAACTTGTGGTAAAATCGAGGCTTAAAGGAATTCTAGTGCCAAACTTACCAAATTTAAACTAAGCCGCTTGTCTCGGTGTTTTAAGGATTGGCCTTCTACATCAGCTGTAAGAAACAAGCCAGGGTGGTGAGAAATGCAAGGCAGTATCAATTGAAACTAGGGTCCGAGTCCCTGTGCACCTCGGGGCCCTTTGCTCCGCTCCAGAGGGAAGAGGCGTGTGACACGGTTTCTACGCGCAAGGCTCACTATTCAGGGTAGTTGGGCCGTCAGAACACAGTCCCCAACAGGTGGAAATCAGAGCAGATTTCCAAGTTTCTGTATGATGGCTTGAGTGCTGTCTGTGAATTGGGAACAGATATAGCAGAGAGTTAACAAACGCTTGCCGCATAGACCACATGAATCTTCGGCAAGGACAGATGGTAGACACAGAGCTACGGGTTTGAAGAGAGAAGGTGTAAAAGATCCCTTGTGATGAGCGGGTGGGTGGGAGGAACGGGCGAGCGAGGGCACCGAGGAGCAGCACCGAGGGCACGCCGGAGACCTGTGATCCCGAACTGGTGACCAGGATTTCCTGTAGTGGTGGTCAGCCACCTGGGTACGGGCTTGGAGAAAGAGGAAAGTTTGGATTAATCCAGGATTAGAAACTTGTCAGATGGACGTGACAGTGTGACATAAAAATTTAGAAGAATTGTCGGATGGAAAGAAGACATGTCCAGAATGCAGGGCAATAAGATAAATGGGCCTCGACTCAAATGAGATATGATTTGGGGAATTAGCGGCTCAGAGATGGCAGTCACATCCAGAAGACTGCATGGGTTTATCTAAGTTGTAAGTGTTGAGAGAAGCTTAATTATAAAACTATAAACAATGCCCAGTATTCAAAGAACAGGAAGATGAGTGACCACAGAGTAATGGGAGAAGTCCAATAAGTGCTCTCAGCCAGTGGGGGCCAGGGAAGTGCTGTCTGTTCCAGAGCATGGAGGCATGAAGTCCGGTTGCCTCAGGAAAATAAACTGAAGAGTCCCCGTCATCTTCAAGTGAAAAATAATTCCCAGCTCAGGAAGGTGGAAGGGAGATTAGTGGAATTAAGGTTATGCATCCTATGCAGATCTTTCTCGACTTCCTTTATTGCTTATGTCCTGATAAAGCCACCCAAAATTGAAAATATCCTAAATCAAAAAGTGTTTACTACACCTAACCTACTGAACATTACCGCTTAGCCTAGCCTGTCTTCGACATGCTCAGAACATGAACAGTCGCCTACAGCTGGGCAAAGTCGGCCAACACAGAAGCCTATTTGCTAATAAAGGGTTGGTTATCCCATGTAATTTATTGAATACTGTACCGAAAGTGAAAAACTCCACAGCTGTTAAGTGTATTGGTTGTTTAGCCTCTTGACTGCTGCTGCCCAGCTGCACAAGAGGATCGTACCACATACCAGCAGCCTGACAAAGATCCAGACTCAAAATTCTAAGTACAGTTTCTACTGAATGCATATTGCTTTCGCACCATCATAAAGTTGAAAAATCCTGAATTGAACCATCATAAGTAACCATCATAAGTCAGGGACCATCTGTATACACATATGTCTACACACACATACGCGCGCAGACACACACACTTCTTTATATGTTCCTTTTTAACACAAATGGTAACATATCATACTCACTGTTCTGCAACTTGTTTTTTTCACTTAATACCTTGGAGATCAGGGCAGAGAAACACTATAAAGAGTTTCTTCATTCTTTTCATCACTGGCATTGTGTTTCATTCTACAGATGGACCATAATTTGAGTATTCCTCTAATATTAGATATCAGTTTTATTTCTAACACTTTATTTTTTTTTTTAATTTTTTGATTTGTTTAGAGAGACAGTGTGTGTGCATGCGCTAGTGAGGGAGAAGGGCAGGGGGAGAGAGACAGAATCTTAAGCAGGCTCCACATGCTCAGCGTGGAGCCTGACATGGGGCCCGATCCCACGACCCTGGAATCATGACCTGAGCAAAAATCAAGAGTCTGATGTTCAACCGACTACACCACCCAGGCACCCCCTAACACTTCGCTTTAAAACAAAGGACAGAAATGGATGACAAAAATAGAAATAGAAATTGCATGCTTGTACTTGGGAAAGAAAGTGAAGGAAAAGATAAAACCAACCTCAGAAATGAAGTCTAAGTTACAAGATTCCCAGGGAAGAAGAGATTCAACTGAAAATTTATTACATGCCATTAAAGAAATGCCAGAAAACAACTGACAGACTAAAAAGGAAAGAAAGAGAATCACAGAAAAAAATGGCTGAACTAGAAGACAGGCCAAGAAGATGCAGTGTACACATTTATTATTAGATTCCTTGAAGAAGGAAAACAAAACAGTGGTATAGTGCCAAAATTAAAAATTATAATCCAAGAACAAGTCCACAAATACAGTAACACCTGAAGCTACATGCTGAAAGGGCCCGCCAAGTACCTGGTCAATTCTACCCAAAATGGTAAATTCTATTACAACAGCTATATTGATAAAATGACAGAATGAAAACAAATCAAATACCCAGTTCAAACCTGGAAAAAGTACAACAGAGAAAACCAAAAGAATTTACAAAATAGGAATAAAAGCAGAAAATAATAGAGTGCAGAAAGAGAGTTCTTCTGATTTTAAAGAATCAAAATCTTTGGGATGCCCGGCCAGCTTGGTCGGTGGAGTGGTGAATCTTGATCTCAGGGTTGTGAGTTCAACCCCATGCTGGGTGCAGAGAGTACTTAAAATATTTTTTAAAAATTCAAAATCTTTGTTTTCTGGGGAAAAAAGTTACCAAAAGGCAACCGACTAGCCAATGTAATCAATAAAGGAGCAGTGCCTAAGTATAAAGAATAAGAACTAAAAAGGAGGAAATCGTTGAAGCAGAGGAAATTAAAAGAAACACAAGAGACAATTCTGCACCAATTTCTACACATTTTAAAATCTAAATGAACTGGATAATTTCCTAGAAAAATAAAATATACCATAAGTGACCCAAATAGGAATAGAAATATTACACGTATAAATCACCATAGAATAAAAGAGAAAATGACCATGGAGCTACCTCCCAAAAGCACCAGGACTCCATGATTTCCACAGAGAATTTTACCAAACTTTCAAAGACCAATGCTACACAAATTGTTCTGAAGCATACAAAAATAAAAACATATTTCTAATTCTTTTTAGGGGGCAAGTATAACTTTGGTAGCTCGACCTGATAAAGATGAAGCAAATCAGAAAATTACAGGTCAATATCACTTGTGATTATCAATGCAAAAATCCTAAAGTATTAACAATCAGAGGAAGGTAGGACTGTTAAATTGTTTGAGGGAAGAGCTCAGCAAAGCCATTCCCCAAAAAGCAATGATAAAACTGTACAAACTTATTTAAAAAAAAAAACCCACAACAACAACTATTTTGAGACTCTTCAAAGTCATCAAAACCACACAACAACTGGAAAGCACTTATTCAAGAAAAACTCCTGGACATCACATAAGAACAGCGTGAGTCTGTGGCATTTTAGCTTGAGGTGTTCCCAAGCCCCTCACTGGCCCAATCAGCAGGTGTTCTACTAGGGCAGGGCGGGCCATGAAGACCACCGGCTTTGCTGCCAAAGGGGACTAACTTGATTTGGATCGAGCATATAAAAAGCCTGTCCCTCTAGGGCACAGGGATCGCAGTGCCAGGAACGGTAAGCAGCGGACAAAGAAGGAGAGCAGCAGAAATACTGCACGTTGATCTCAGGAACGAGTCCACCAAAGTGCCTCGAAATTCAAGTATGCTAAATACAAACACATCAAGACCAAGACACGTCCCAAACTGCTGAAAATCAAAGGCAAGGGGGACACCTTGAACACAGTGAGAGAAAACCAGCTCTTTATGTACAAGAGAATCACAATGAGATTAACAGCCAACTACTACTCATGGCAAACGGAAGGCCAGAAGGTAGTAGAATTACATATTCAAAATGCTGAAAGAAACAAATCTGTCCAACGAGAATTCTACATGCAGCACAACTGTATTGCAAAAGTGGAGGCAAAATAGAAACATTCCCGGAGAAACAAAGACTCACGGAACAGCCTTACGCAGGCCGAAAGGACGGGACAGCACGTGGTAGCACCAACTCTACAAAGAACTAAGGGGTGCGGGTAAAGAGAATCATGTAGGTAAATATAAAAGACGATAGAAGTACAGAATTTTCTCTTTTCTTCTTTTAACTGAGTTAACAGACAGTGGCATGAAACAATAATCATAAAACTTATTTTGGGGCCTATAAAGTAGAAAGATCTAACATACTTGATGATAATAGCCCAGGAGTAGAGAATGGCACTGTACTAGAGTCAGGTAATGACAACAGGTTGGAACTCAAAACCACGGGAAGAAATAAAGAGCACGAGAAACAACAAACACATGAGTTTATATAAGAGATTCTGTAAATAAACTTTTTCTGTGTGTATGGGTACGTGCATATATATATTTTCCCAAACCATCTGAAGGGAAGTTGCGGTAATCAGGAACCTTCACTTCAAAATATTTCAGTGTGTATCTCCTAAGAAAAATAACATTCTTGGGCCGCCTGGGTGGCTCAGTCGGTTTTTGGCTCAGGTCATGATCTCATGGTTTGTGAGATCCAGCTGCGTCGGGCTCTGTGCTGACAGCTCAGAGCCTGGAGCCTGCTTCGGATTCTGTGTCTCCATCTGTCTCTGCCCCTTCCCTGCTCGTGCTCGCTCTCTCTGTGTCTCTCAAAAATAAATAAACATTAATCTTTTGTATAACCACAGTGCTTCAGCAAATTTGGTATTGATATAATACTATTATGTAATAAAAGCAGGGAACTATCTGATTCTTTTTGACAAAAATGAACCATTCCATTGAATGGATGTAAAATAATTTATTTAACCATGTCTCTGTTAACGGACATTAAGGTTAATTCCAATCTTTCACAAATAATTTTCACTCACCAACCATGCACATATGTCCTTTTTACACGTGTAAGCATTTCTGTAACCAAAACTGCCCTTCACAGGAGGGCACCATCTACCAAAACAACAGATACTATATAGTCCCTATTCAAACACTGCTGCTGTC